ACACTTTAAAGCAACAAAAACAGCATGAAAACTGTGCAAGGCACTGAACACCTTTGCAAGGCACTGTCCACAATGTGATTTTCAACAAAGGGGCACACATTGGTCTTGAACATGTATTTTATTACCAGACCTGTAGAGTACTTTATTACTTAATTAAATGTTATTATTTATTCATTGAAAATGGCTAAAGACTCTACAAATTTTAAAAAGTTGTCAGTAGAGCAGAAACGCCGATTGTTCCGCCTGCAATCTTTTGTTTTTCAGCACAATAAAGGAGAGTAAAATATTTTCCAAAAACATGGCAGATGTCTTTATTGAAGTGTGCAACACAAAGGCCTATCACTAACTACACTGCAGCGAACAAAGCGTGGGAAGAAGGATGGCAATACAAAGAACACAACAACAGTAAATAGAACGTGACAAGACACTGCCAGTAATTTTAAAACTCAGATTAAACACTCCAATCTAGACAGAGTAATGTGTGATTATCTTCTAAATGTGCTAACCACATTGTTAACTTAAATGCTCCTGCAAGAGATTTGTAATTTGAAAGAGGAAAGCAATAAATGCTTATGCTGCATGCCATACCTTTTTCTCATTAATAACAAGAAGAACAATTGTCTGGAAGTATTTTTGTGTTACCATTATTTATTCCTTTATTTTACCAGGTAAGTCAATTCAGAACAAAAACTAAATGACATTGCTGACCTAGAGCCGCGTTTACACAGCAGAATAACATGGGGCTTCACCTGGTGCCGTCTGAGGGAAATGCCCTGCTCAAGCGAACATCAGCAGCGCCCCAGGACCCTCCGATCAGAAGCCCAGGGCCCTATCCACTTCGCCTTGTGACGACTTTGACGAGTGCGTTGTCAATTCAATGTTAGAACCGTACTCCATTCTAGATTTTAATCCATTCTAGATTTTAGTCACTTGCACTTCACAGACTGATGTCAGAGCTCAAAAACAAAACATTAGATGGGCTGATGCTGGTCTGGAAAGGGGATCGTACATAAATATGTACGAACTCCTCTTTTGCAGGTAGACTCCATTGAAGTCAAGTCTTCTTAATGAGTACCATACTGTTGGCTTGAGCAAAAGCGTGTAAATGGTAAAACAACACAAGGATCACTGGGAAGTTCATCCACTGAATCTGTAAAAGAACTGTAGGCATCAACACATCTGCCCCCACAGGTGCAACATAGAGGAATTATATTGACATTTTGTGTTGCTTTAAGAACATGAGTGGCATGGGTCTCAAAAAGTGACCAAATAATTATTTGCAATACGTTGAGAACAGCTATTGAAACTCCAAAAGCTGTCATTAATGGATGGATAATGCATTTATGTTGCTGCCATAATAACAATGATCCACAGGACCATGAAAATTTGGTTATGCCTGCTCTACCACTGCCAACTAGAAATGAGACAACCAAGACAAAACCATCCTGTATATTTTATCTACATGTTGACTATCAACATGAGTGACAGTCTGGTGGCGAAGGACCATGACACCATGTTTGTGGGGGCAAATCATTGCTGTAATCAGGTTTAATGAGTCTTCAATGATCCAAGCGGGTTATCAGCTGTAGTCGCTGCTGTATGGGTGGGATATTTCAGCGGAACTGTAGGGCACACCTGGTCGGCGTCCATCATTGGTGCTTCCAGTCAGTTCAAGGAGAACAGGAATCAGAGAACACAAATTGAAGCTGCATTTCAGCTAGGAACGAGAAGCATTCATTTCACAGAAAGAGTTGTGAAAGTCTGGTCTGTACTGCTAAAGCAGATACCCTGGCTTCTTTCCAGAAACGGATGGATGATAATAAACTCGGATAAATTAGTTACTAGCAACCATTAGCTAAATGATCTCCTCTCGTATGTAAGTCATCTTTCTCATGTTATTTGTGTAGTGATGGTGGATGGATTCTCACTGCACTAACTTTGATGTGATTTAGCACGTCGCTTCTCTATTTTACCAAACCGATCGTTACAGTATGACTAAAACGGGTGACGATTTGGGCTTTCAATGCAAGCACCGAGTATCCTGGCACACGCATATCCACACACGTTTCTTACTCTGCCTGCTTCTTGAAGTTCAATTCTCTGAAGGGAACGAGAAACGAAAAAAGGGAACAAGAGCCGCGACATTCTATTTGCCTGTCAAATCTCTCATAAATTCATACTGAAACAGGCAAAATGGGTTGGTGTTGCAAAATGAATAATTAAGATTAAAATGCTGGGTGTCTGGAGTGTTTCAGAAAAGCTTGCATCAGAAAGAATAACAATAGATCCCAAATGCTTGAGCTGGCCTACCATGTTCTGAACTTAGCCTCATTCCTTTGTTAAAAGGATGATGAATTTGTTAAGCAGTCTATACAACTCTAACTACAGCTTCGCGATCACGCCATTATCATATACAAGCTTGATGCATTCAGACACTTTTATCTGTGTTAATGAATCAATTTCTACACATTAACATGGTTCACTGATCCAAGTGTAATTAAAACCTATATTTAAACCAAATAGAGATTTTAAGGAAATTAAAATGAAAATGTGAAGAAAAGAGGTTTGGGAGGCTTTGCACACAACAGAAATCATCATGTTCCTGAAATATTACGGCTTGAGTTTTGTGGACCTCATGTAGGGACACACTGCACACCCATTGACACTCGTTATACTAAAACCTGTCGCTCAACTGTATATATACAATTAGACATAAAGAGGAAGCGTGTATCTTCATGTACCATTTTCAACTACACTGTAAAAAAATCATTTTTAGCGGTCAACTTTACATGGCAAACTGTATGATGCCAGTGAGCGATCATTTTAAAGGATAGGGAAACAAGTTTTAAAATGCCATTTAATGCCAACAGAACAAGTATGTTGGAAACCGTCGTTTTTAAAAGCCTAGTGAGACTTTGATTACCTAAATAAAACATTCTGAAAGGAATTTAAAACCCAACATTGTGTGTCCGGTGATGAAACACCCAGCCTTGAGCACTGCTCACACAAGCAGGCCCAGTTTCAGAGCCATCAGGAAGTTGTTCAGGCTCTGTAATGCTTGTGCAATATTCGCAGAAGGTGGTGTTGATTCCTGCTTCAGTCCAGTGGGAAACAACGCTGTACACAAAATCAGGCGTTGCTATGTTCTTAAATACTTTCAGAAGGAGCGGAACACTTGCCAGCTCACTCAACCTCTCCTCAAAATTCACTGTAAGGGCCAGGTGCTTCTTGAGAAACTCACGTTTGCTGGATTACATTCATCCTCATAAAATGAGGGAAATCAGGCTTGAGTGCCTGTTGCCTTCTTGTTTATCTTTGTATTTGACCCAAGACTGAACAAGATCGAATCTTCTGGCAACTTTAAAGAAATCATTTTTGTTTAATTTTATACTATAACATCTTAACACAGGAAGTGGAAAAATGTCATCAACAGTCTAAAACTCACAAATGATTTTATAGTATTTGAGCTTTAATAACACTACAGAACAAAAAACATTTTAAAGCACCGTACAAAAAAAACGACCATTTTTAACAATTTTTCAGATTCTACATAAACAAAATATTCATGAAACCCCTTTAGAATTTTATTAGATTTCTACAGACAGTCTTTCCAGACAAATTCCATTATGTAAAGTGGCCTTAATTTACCTTTCATAAGGGTTCCTGCCAGTCCTTGTACACCAAAGTGACATTCAAAAATGTTATGAGAAGAAACGCAAGTGGTTTGAGCTTGGTATCTCTTAAAACAGATAATCATAGTGTGATAAAAAGTGCACAATATACTTGTTCCTACCCCAAAAAATAAACATCATTTATAAACATTAGCATTAATATATGATCCAAATTTAAAGATGAGAAGCCAAGACTTGTTCTTTTTATACTGTGGTCACGTCTTTGAAAAGATTATCACTTTACATACTGTATAATGACCCCCCCCCCACAGCCATAAAAAAAATAATAATGAAACACAACCACTCCTCTATTCTCGAATCACAACTTGCTTTCTCGCCCCACTAACACACGAGATGGGGAGGCAGAACTGGAACCGAGTTGGCTGCATCTGAAAATGTTTCCATTAGCCAGCAACAGTGGGCGATCAGCCACGCAGCTCCCAAGCGTCATGTTAAAATCAAGCAATTGAAAAATAAGCACCAAAGCGAAAGACTGAAAGACAATGGTCTGTAAGCTGACACAAGAATCGGGATTAGCATTCGACAGTTCAATAAGCAGCCCTGAACAGCAACGCTGTTTGCAAGCACACTGGCGTAAAACTGCCAGTCTCTCAAAATACTTCAGAGATGTCAAACTAAAAGTACCTGACAAAGAGTGATTAATACCTTATTTCCCCTGTCACAATTATGCAGAAGTACTGCAAGCTAGCAGAAAATACAGCACCTGCATAACTGATGTTCTGAGATTCTATCTGGGAAATTCTGAAACTTTACAGCAGCACTAATGCTGCCCTGGCTGAATGACAGGACTGACTAATAGAAGCTGTTTAAAGTCCCCACCTTTTATGAGGATAGTCTCATCAAGAATTTTTACAGCCCTGCACTTCGTATACGAAACCTATTAACACAATTGTTTAACCTTTTTAATATACTTGTAAAAAAAACAAGATGTATGGACTTTTTTTCCACTGTAAAAATATCACATTTCGCAGTAATCCAGATCTGACTAGATCATTTTGTAAAGAACTATAAATTACCAGAATTCTGAAGACACTGTTAAAGCCAGACGCAGGCTTATCATAAATGTCGCGGGTATCGTTCACTCTGTCCTGTAATTTATTGTCACCAATATCAACCCTAATGGAAAACAAAAATGAATGAACCCCAGTTAATTTTCTATTCTCACCCCAGTAATGGATCTTAAAGATGCACTGTCCATGGATCATCAACTACAGTAAGTTCTGTCCATAGCCTGAACTGCTGGAAAAGAACATAAACATGAGCATTCCTCCAGATTAATTTAGTGTTGAAATGAAAACCTTTACTTACATTTTAACCCATTATTTTGAGCGTCAGGCCCCAGGGTGTCCTCTCCTTTTGTTTCTGTAAGGAGTAAAAAAAAAAGCCTGTTACATGAATGAAAAATAGACAACAACAAAAGCATAAAGACAATGTTTCATATCTTAGGTGACTTATGTTGATGGTCACCATTATGCCTCTGTGATTAACTTTCAATCAACATGTAATTGATAAAGCAAATGACTTATGTTGGTCAGTAAATGGTTAGTTTTAGGTTGTATGGCCTAAATTTCCAGCTCATGAATATAAAAACATATGAAAGGTTACAAAAAAAGAGACCTATCTATGTTGGGTGGTTGCTAATATCTAATTGAATCGAATATCTCATCCAGCCGTTTCCTAAAAGAAGCGTGGATGTCAGGTCCCAAAGTCTGGCTGACTATGTTGTTGCCTGTTGCCATTTGCCTTTAAGTTTTTGAAATAAAATTACCTCTCTCAGTTGTAAATGTACTTTCCTGTGCTCTCCAGTTGTGCCGCCTGTTTCATTTATGACTGCTGATTCTAAAAAATGTCCAATTAGTTCACTTTGCCTCTTTGAGGATTCTCAGTAAGTGAATTGGGTACCATCATAGTCTTCTGTCATAGACTCGAAGACAGAAAGGATTCAGTTATTTTAGCTGGTCTATTTAGGACATTTCTTTCAGCCTAGGAATGGACAGTACATAGTCTATATAATATAATTATAGTTTCATAGTAGCATTATCTTTTTTTTTTGGTGGGAAAATGGTAACCAAAAGTGTACACTATCTTGAATATAATATAACATTTATTAAGTCAACTTTTTCTGTACAGATCTTAGACTTCTTTATTGCATCTCCACATTGTTTAGTGGAGGTAAATGATCCTCATAGGTCCTCATAAAAACCTTTTTTTTCCCCCATAGGTATCTTCTTCAAACTCAGTGTTTCCATTTTATGTTTAAAGTTTATGCTTTTACATCTTTGATAGTCTCATATGGTTGAGGATGATGGACTTGAACAAACCCAATAGTGACTTGTAAGACCAATACCCACTGCACACACACTGGCAGGTCGAGGAGATGTTTGGTTGCGAGACCTAACTGACTGCACACTGCACAAACAAACTGTCTTTTACACTCTTGCTTGTCTTCCTCATTCCGACAACACCGTTTCTCAAAGTACTGGGCTTCCGTCCAGATACTTTCACTCCATTTGGTCAGTCGCAGGCCATTTTCTCCCAGGAGTTGATATCGATGTTTGATTAACTCATGCTTGCTTTTACGACACTTCTTCTGGCCTCCTCTGCAAATACTGCATTGCCTAAATTCTCAATGAAAAAACTCACATGTATCTGATGTTTTTCCTTTGATTTCGCCTTCATAATCACCTTCATGTTCACTGAGCTGCTGTTTCACAACAAGTTGGATTGCTCTCAGGGCAGGGATGTCGGTGCTTAGTTGCTAAATGGCTTGGAGAACGTACAGAGGATGGAGATGCCTGTATACAACATCTTTAAATGTGGAGAAATCATTATAGCTTCTACCCAGGTTTTGACGGAATGCAAATTTGCCAACAGTAATCAAAGCAGCTCCAGGATTGTAGGAGTCCATCCATACTTAATAATTAATTCCATACTTAAGCCCGTTGATGCCGATCGAACATCACTGGCCAGGTTCCACGATGAGGAAAGGTGGGGATTGGAACTTTATATTTGCCACTAGCATGGAATATTCGCCATATCGCTACATTAAATGTCATTCAAATCCCATACTTTTTCCAGACTTGAAGTCTAGGTCTTTTTAACTTCCTTTGAAACTTCAACACCTTTTTGCTTATCCTCCTATATTAGTGACATCTGTGACTTTCACCCGTTTACAGATATTAGCTCATTAGCTAATCTCATTTCATCTTATGAACGTTTCCTTTCTGAGGTCCATTCAGTTTTATTTTAGCTAAAATATCCCTTTGCCATATTATTTTCTATCACTCTCCTGGCCTCTCACTGTACCCCTTATCTAAAAACTGTTCCACTGATACTGTTCTTTTTAAATAATTTTACACAGTACTTTCTATCTCCTTAAACTAAAATTGATTGCCAGTATTTCTCCTTATACTGTCATGAACTTGATACCATACTTTTTAACAGCAGTGAATTCTTCAAATTCTTCAAGGAATTACTTTTCAGTAAGGAATGATTTACTATGAACCTTCTTGTTAAAGGCCCTGTTAACTATGATTACAACCAGCAAACAGGGGACATTTTATTTACCACCTATTTAGGGTAATTGCCCAAAGTTATCAATAACCCGTCATCACAAATTCCTCAATATTAAAAACAGGAATTTACCAACTTCTAGAGGTGTGTGTACGCACCTACACAGCATCATTTTCTCAATATTTCGCTTGCGACTGCCCATCTTCTAACGTTTCTTTAAAGGATACCACTGGGTTGATCTGTAAACCAGAAACTACCACCTTCTTATTGGCACAAAACTACAAATTTTAATTACTTTCTTTCTAAAGACGCATCTTTAACTTGAAACTGCCTTAGTTGTGCTCCCTTTTTGACATTAAGTACCAAAAGCATTTCTAAGAAGGCAGTGAAGTGATGTTGCTGCTTGCTGGCATGTAGAGTGCCCTGGGGCTTGAATATGGCTCAAGTGTGGGGAGTAAGGCCATCAGGTTATGACTGTCACAGTAAAGCTGCTGGCATATTGTTCATGACGAGATGAGCCCACAGAAAGGGCAGCAGGTGAGGTCCCAGGTCCTGCCCAGTGCAGTCAAGCTGCCATCAATCACTACAAGTGGAGTTCTGTAGAGACTGGATGCTCCTGAGTGGGCAATCGCCCTTGGATCTTTGCAGTGATCTTGGCAAGGTGCTGTGATTCATGTTCTTCCAGATAATGGTCCATCACTGACAGACTGCATTTGGTTGCAAAATCTTCCCTTGTAAGAAACCACTGGCCGTGACTGCTCCACATTGTGAGAATTAGTGTGCTATTTCCAGCCTCCAACATACAGATCACACAAAACCCTGCCCTTTTGATAACAGACATTTTGGTTCCTTTCTTGACTTTTACCAGGTTTGACCTGTGTCCAAACAATGCTCTCACTAACAAGGTGATTTAGACCTTCTGTAACAAAGTCTCTTGAGTGTAATCATGGTTACTTATGAACGATAAACCACAATGATGCCAAAAACATTAAATCAATATATACGTGAAATTATACAGCCCATGAAAAAATACTGCTAAATTTCACTTGATGTCAATTTTATGGGACAAAAAGGGGCAAAAAGAAAGAAACACAAAGAAAAAAAGTCTCCTGGCAATTTAAGGTTGCATGTTCAAAACTTATATTTGCACCAGATTCTCTAAAAGGCTCAAGTAAGTATAAATTATACTTTATGCTCCAGTTACAATTTTAAAAGGTTCTCAAATCTTCAACTACCTTTGCAAAGTTCTTTGCTTGGCTACCCAGCATATCCACATTGCTAAATAACAGTATTTCCTTTCTTTCTACCGCTCCTCAATAATATATTCATGCCACAACGAATGGAAGATGGCAAAACATACTGCTTCTGTTGTCTTATAATGAAGAATGATTTAAGGGGGGGGGGGGGACCTGGTCTTCCAAAGAGGGAAGAGTTGGCAGGGATGACTGATTTCCTGCTTGTGCGTCCTCTCTGTATCTGAAGATATTTATCAAGGCCTTATTTCGCAAGAGTGTACAGTGAGTAAATTAAGGGCCTTTTTAGTTGGAGGTCACAAACTGCTGCCAGGGTTTTCAAGGTAAGCCAAACATCTGTTTTACAGGAACCGAGGGTAAAATTGATATGAACAGACAGCAAGGATGTGCATTAAAAAGCAGAAACTGTTAGCACAGTATGTTTCGTTGTATGAGTACTACCTTCCTTAGAGATAGGATTGGTTACATATCATATAAATGAGATCACAATAAAACCCATCTGAAAAGTACTAAGGAGGCGGTAAACTAAACTGAATACACTACATATTTCATACAGAAGAAGAAACATTTACAGAATTGATCGTCTTTCCACAAAGTCTACAAATCAGTTAAATGTATTTTTCAGTTGTTCTTTTTTGGAATGTTGTAACTGAGAAAAGGTTCCGAATACCTTATGGCTTAAGCCTGACAAATTGACTTTTTTTTTTTTAACACAGCCTCAGCACTTTTTTTTGGTTTGGCAAGATAAACATTTAAAATAAAAATCAGAATAAGACCCTTACAATGCAGGAAATCAGAGCCAGACGTGTGTTAGGAAGACCATGATAAATGCAGTGTGGGATTCATCTGTACATATCGGGTTTTCTTTTAAATGGGCTCTAAAGGCTGCCGTAACAAAACTGAACCAGGAATTGAACATTTTAAACCAGAGGGCAGCGTAAGCAGAGAAACCGGGCTGCCCCCTCATCCCAGTAGGTTTCACTCATACTCAAGGCGTTGACACTCAGCAGTCCATGGAGGGCTATGTGCTTTATTTCCTGCCACTCATGAACTGGACCTGTTCTAGGATAACATGAAAAACTTCAGTGTTCATGCGTAACTACCATCTCTCCCAAGAACGAAGAATCACATACATGACAGAGTAACTAAAAAAGATAACTGCCATTCCATTTGCTGTATTTTAAGGGGGACACTTGTCCTATTATCAAACATGAACAATCCATAAAAAAAATCTGATCAGATCTTTCCTTGATTGCATTGTGATCTTCCATAATGCCATCAAGCATGTTCAAGGGAGAGACTGTATACTGTGGGGAAATAAATCCATAAAAGATGAAGCGTTAACCAACATTCACAGCTGTATTACCATCTACTGTACTTCTTTGCAACTATCAGCATTGCTTTGATGGCAAAAAAAAATGTCACAAAGAAACATCTGGTATTTTAGGCAGCTAGTTACTTAAATCAAGAAGCGGAAAGAGCTAATCTGACAACGAGAGCACAGGTACTCAAACACATCTGCAGGTTCTTCATTACAGTAAAACTCATCAGAACCTGATAAGAAAACTCAATCTGCACTACAGTAAAGCAGCAATT